GACTGCCCAGGCCTCCCAACTGACACCCACTATCAGGGGGCCTGGGTCAGTCCTATGCTGGTTTCCCAGCTATCCGTCTGGCATCTATGAGCTCATGCTACTCTTCTTACAGAGTCTCAGCATTCCTCCCAGGACTTCCTGATAGATTTACATAAGACAGAGTGTATGTAATTTTAAAATCACAGCTTAACTGTTGGTCATGTGAAATGTTGGAGAAATACCCACAAAAGTCTCTATGGAACTCCTTCCCAAGCATCCAAACATCCAAATACCTTAAATAACTATCCCCGTTTTCCAGTCCTTACTAGCAATAGAGAGATATGTCTTGGAAATAAGTCTAGCCTAACCTGTTCATTTGGCACCCTTACTACCCAAATAGCAAATTAAATACTTCAGCATTAAGTCTGGAAAGGGCCAATAGGAATGAAAGTTCAAAAAGGGCTTTTGGTAGTCTGAGTTGGGAATTTAAAAAGTAAACAGTTTCACCTGAAGCAGCCTGAAAAACCATGGAAGGAATTTTATTCCTTCCTTCCTTACTACCCCTCTTAAATCTATTTCCACAGTGACCAACAGCAGCTGACTGCTTAAGGGAGAATGCTATACCCAAGCAATGACTGAGAAATAAAACAAATTGGTTATAAAAGAAGATATGTACACACCATACTCTTCATGTTAAAGATCTGTTAATCAGCCCCACACATCCCAGCTCTCAAGTCATTTGGAAGAGCTAATTTAGTTTGGTCATGTTTTCCAATGCTTACATTGTTATTTCCAATGCATTTACAAGCCTATAGAGATTTATGATCTAATATTTTTCCTAAGACTAAAAGTGAATTCTCGGAGTTGTGATTGAGAATTAAAATTGCTTATTTGCAATAGGAACCTACACTTTTTAAAATAAATCTTCGTTTTCTCCAGGTGCGTTTTGATTAGTGTCTGAGAACAACACACCCCAAGAGAGCAACATGCTCCTTAACTCCTCTACTGAAGATGGAATTAAAAGAATCCAAGATGACTGCCCCAAAGCTGGCAGGCACAATTACATTTTTGTCATGATCGCTACTCTTTACAGTATCATCTTTGTGGTTGGAATATTTGGAAACAGCTTGGTAGTTATTGTCATTTACTTTTACATGAAGCTGAAGACTGTGGCCAGTGTTTTTCTTCTGAATCTTGCCCTGGCTGATCTTTGCTTTTTGTTGACTTTGCCACTGTGGGCTGTGTATACAGCTATGGAATACCGCTGGCCCTTTGGCAATCACCTGTGTAAGATCGCTTCAGCCAGTGTCAGTTTCAACCTCTATGCCAGTGTGTTCCTGCTCACCTGTCTCAGCATCGATCGCTACTTGGCCATTGTCCACCCAATGAAGTCTCGCCTCCGCCGAACGATGCTAGTGGCCAAAGTCACCTGCATTATCATCTGGCTGCTGGCTGGCTTGGCCAGTTTGCCAGTTGTCATCCACCGAAACGTATTTTTCATTGAGAACATCAATATCACAGTTTGCGCTTTTCATTATGAGTCTCAGAACTCAACTCTCCCCATAGGGCTGGGCCTGACCAAGAATGTTTTGGGCTTCCTGTTCCCTTTTCTGATCATTCTCACCAGCTATACTCTAATTTGGAAAACCCTAAAGAAGGCTTATGGCATTCAGAAGAACAAGCCAAGAAATGATGATATCTTTAGGATAATTATGGCGATTGTGCTTTTCTTTTTCTTTTCCTGGGTTCCCCATCAAATCTTCACTTTTCTGGATGTGCTCATTCAGCTGGGAGTCATCCGTGACTGTAAAATTGCTGACATCGTGGACACTGCCATGCCCATCACCATCTGCATAGCTTATTTTAACAACTGCCTGAACCCTCTGTTTTACGGCTTTCTAGGGAAAAAATTTAAAAAATATTTCCTCCAGCTTCTGAAATACATTCCCCCAAAGGCCAAGTCCCACTCAGGCCTGTCAACAAAAATGAGCACTCTTTCCTACCGCCCTTCAGATAACATGAGCTCATCGGCCAAGAAGCCTGCATCTTGTTTTGATGTGGAGTGAGGAGTTCAAAGCCTGCTAGTGAAGTGATCCGCTGACAAGAAGAAGCCAGAGCAGCTTTTGGCGAAACAGCTCACTGCCAAAGGGATGTTCAACCCCCACCCATTTCAGTGTTGAAGCAGAGAATGGACTTGGTGAACTGTACATGTTTTCTAGAGCACTGAACAAAAGCTTTGGAATAGGAGCAAAGCCACTGTTCACCACTTTTTTCATTGACTGGATAATAACTGCTCCAAGAACAATGTCAAAAACTGAGTGACTATTGATTTTGAAACAGTGTACAGGGCGAAAAGCAATGTCCCCTGTCCCCTCTCATCCTGTTGCTTTTGATTTCCACATGAAGGTATTTAGAATATAGTAAATCTGTAGACAAGCATAAAGGAGAAGGGAAGTCAGCAGCTTCCAAGGGGCAGGGAAGCTTTTCCATCTGTTCAGCTACTAGTGACTATGACACTGTTGTCCCTATGATTTGCTAAGCAGTAGCCATCAAGTTTCAAAACTTTTTGTGAAGTTCAACCAGTAGCTCAAGAAACCACACTACCAAAATAGTGTCCACTCCATCTTACGTGTATATAATGATGTTATAGCAGTCGCATACCAAAGCTGATTCACTTGTGAAGTGGTGATTGTGTCCCAGGAAACTGTGTCTTCCTGGGCAGACCAGTCTTCACAGTCTTTGTTAAGCAGAGTTGTCATAAAATATGTCTTACTGTTCTAAAATGTATATATTCTATGTGTACATATAGCTATATCTCTAAACTGTTGTTTGATTAAAATCTAGCAAACATATTTATCTTGAAATAAAAATTTATCATAATGTGTTTAATCTTCACCACTTAAAACATATATTGATTTAATTTTTAGTTAAACCATGAGCAGACATGAAGATATTTTAAGTTTGATTTAATTGTAATAATATGGGTGGTTATAAATTTTCAGCTTTTACTACCTTTATTTAGTGTGGGGCACACACGTCCCACAGCACACATGTAAAGGTCAGGGGATAACCTGGGGGAATCAGTTCTCTCTGTCTGCCATGTGGGTTCACAGGACCCAACTTAAGTTATCAGTCTTGGAAGCAAGAACATGTAACCACCAATTCAGCAGTCACTATACCTTCTTAAATCCCACTTTTGAGAAGATTCAGAAGAAAACACTTCATTATAATGAATAACATGGAATAAACATCCTTTTGAAATTGTCAAAGTTATTCTGCATAACAGAAGAAAGCACCCATCCTTTATAATACATTATTTTACCTGTAATTTTTAATATTGGCTTTGTCTAATTATGTACATGACCACTGTAGGAAATTTAGGAGATATATAAAAATGATAAAATAATAAGTCTTATTTAGTACTCCAATGCAAACAAAAAATTGATCATGCTAACATTTCATTCCATTTGCTTCTGATATTCTGTGCTAAGGGACACACATAAATTATTACATTGACTCATAATAAGCATAGAACTTTATATTTTTCACTCAGGGTCATAGCACAGTTGCCTCCTACCCTAACAATTTTTCTCAATCATTGAATATTTGATTGTTTTCAAGTAAAGACATACTTCCATGTAGCTAGCTAATCACTAATTTGGAACCTTTTGTTTTGTTTTCAGTATTCTAAGTTTCACAAAGATGAACATTCAAGAACATGGATGTGACAGATTTCTCATCTTCTAACTAGTATAAATGAGTATAAAGAGTATCCAGTTGTAAACAGTACTCAGTGTTTTCTAAAATATGCAAAATAAGTTATCATGTTGCCAACTGTTTGACTCAGCAACATGAGAAATTTAAAAAATTTCATTAGAAAGTTTATTGTAGGGATTCTCATGCTATATACAAGTGTGAGGACTTGACCATATTCCAAAGGACCTGCTGTAACACAATGTTCCTATCTGGCAATTGTATCGTTCTTCAACCTAGAGGCTGCTCATGAGGCCAACATGAAGGCTAAGATGCCCACTCTTGTCCCGCCCCACAAAAGAATAAAAAAGAAAAGAAAATTGTAGCCAAACGACTTAGTATATGTAAACCAGTCGATGAAAGCTACGGAGAAGGAATTCCTTTAGAGAGGATCTGGTGCACAAGGCAGAATGTCCACCACCAGCCTTTCATTCTCTTTGCATAAACCGTTCTTTTCTGAATAGGTGGTTACATTCACCTTGTGTTATTTTTCTCTTGAATTATTTTAAATTATGCTAACATAATGCCTACCCTCTACCAATGTTCTTTATTTTCACAAAGAATCGCCTCCAAACATTAAATTCTATCTCAACCCAAATTATAGGATAGACTTACTTCTACACACCACTACTAATAACAACAACAGCAGAAATATCAAAATCAACAGACACTGTTCATTGATATCTGTCAACAAACTAACAGAGTGGGTTCAAAAAAAAAAAAACCTTATCATCAAGGATAAGACATCACCTCAGGGTGAAAGATTGAAAACAGATGCTCCAAGAAAATGGACCTAAGAGCAAGCTGGTATAGATATTCTAAGATCTGACAAAATAGACTTCCAACAAAAAATAATCAGAAGAGTTATGAAAGGACACTGCATACCAATCAAAAGAAAAATCCACTGAGAGAACATTAGAATTGTAACATCTATGCACCAAACACTAGGGCAAAGAAGTTTTCTAAAAAAAAGAAACAAAACAAAAATTGCTACTACAGCTCTAATCACATATTGACCCTCACACATGGATAGTGGGAGACTTCAATATACCACTCTCACCAACAGGCAAGTTATCCAGATTAAAACTAACAGAGAAATGCTGACATTATAAACCAAATGGACCTAACATAAATTTATAGAATATTTCATCCAAACACAAAAGAATATACATTCTTCTCCATAGCTCATGAATTCTTCTAAAACTGACCACATACTCAGACATAAAGCAAGTCTCAACAGATATAAGAAAATTGAAATAACACACATTATCCTAACTGAGGACCATAGATTAAAGCTTTAAGAACAGCCATAGAACCAAAAGAAAGCTTACAAACTCATGGAAACTGAACAACTAACTTTGAATGGAAACTATGTCAAGAAAGAAATTAAAGTCTTTGTAGAATTGAATGAAAATAAATAGACAACCTATCCAAACTTATGGGACACAAAGAAGGCTAGTTCATGGAAAGTTTATGGCACTAAGGGCCTACATATTAAAAAAAAAAAAGAAGGTGGAATCTCATACTAGCAACTTATCAGCACATCTGAAGGCTCCAAAACCAAAAGAAGAAATCACACCCAAAAGTAGTAGATAGCAAGAAATAATAAAACTCATGGTTTATATAAGTAAAATAGACATAACAAGAAATAATACAAAGAATCAATGAAACAAAGACTTGATTCCTTGAAAAAAAAATCAAACATTTATGCAAGTTATCCAAAAGGCAGAGAGAAAATATCCAGTTAGCAAAATTAGAAATGTAAACGGGGATATAACAACAGATATTATGGAAAACAAGAGAATCATAAGGATAAACTTTAAAAACCTGTACTCCATTCAATTAGAAAATCTAAATGAAATACATAATTTTATAAATGTATACCACTTACTAAAGTTAAATCAAGATCAGATAAGTATTTTAAAGACACATATAACTCCTTGTGAAATAGAAGCCTTCACTGAAAGTCTCCTAACCAAAAGGGCCTAGGACTTGACAGTTTTAGTACAGAATTCTACCATACTTTCAAAAAAGAGTTAACCTCAATGCTTTCCCAATTCATTCACAAAATAGAAAAGGAAGGAACATTTCCCAAATCATTTCATGAGGCATCTGATGGAAAAAAATGTGAGCTTTGGAACTAGTCTTTTTGCTCCAACAGTTCCATTACTATGTGAATCCAAACGACTTCTGAATGATGGATGATAAGGCACATGGACATATATTCCTCAGCCTAGTTCCTGATGCTCCTATGTCACATAAAGTATCTTTTCAAATACAATCTCAAGAAAAATCTGTGTTGAACCTGTCAATCTTACAGAGCATTTTATCAAGCATGATAAATATTTTTTGGTTCACAGGCATTCAAATTGATAATTTTTCAGAAAAAAAATGAGCTTCGTGTCTCCAAAATGGAAGAGACAGGGGCAGGAAGAAGAGGAGGAGGGAGGGAAAGAGAGAGTGAGAAAGAGAGGGAGAGAGAGAGAGAAACACATTGGTCTGGACAACCACAAGAAGCCCTGCTGGAATTCACCACAGAGGGGGTATGTCCTATGCACAAACAACTGAGCACACCTGCTGCTCCTCATCCAGGAATTTGTGACACAAGAATCCCCACATGGAGACCAGTTCTCACTAGTGGCCTCCTGGCTATTGCTGATGCAGAGAAGTCCAAATAGTATTGATTGGAGACAAAATAAAGTTATCAGCCTAGAGAATATGTCTGACGCTGTCTAGAGAGTAATTGCTCCTCTCACTCATTCACATAAGAATGAAAAACAAGGGGAAAAACTTTCCCACTGAAGACATCAATCATCTTTACTACAATTGCTTGCGCCTTAGATCAGCTCTATACTCTTTCAGAAACATCCCTACTCAGTACAGCATCTACCAACACTTTGATGGAAGATGTGAGAAGACCTATGTAAACTGGCCCAGCATATTCTGGCTACACTGGTGTGGGTGTGTGACATAAACCCAACCATAGAAATTTTCTGAGTTTGCCTGGAGCTACCAAGCAGAATATATACTCTTTCTTACTCTGACTAAATATAGTTATTTGGGCACTTCAAATGGATATCTGGAAATTTCCAAGAACTTTCCGAGCAAGAATAAGAATGCAGTAACATAGTGGAGAAGACTGGACAAAATCTTCAAGAATTGACTGTCTACTCCCAGAACCAGTGCTGTCCAGACTTTCATTTGTTGATGAAGATCAGTTCCCTCTTAGAAAGAGAAGCCAGCTCTGGAGCACCTCCTGACACCAGCTCCATGTGCTTTCTGAGGGTGATGGAGTATGACTGTGTAAGGGGAG